TGCGGTGAATGCAGCGCGGTGAACGCTGCTTACTAACTTAGAAGTCGGTTTCAGAACAGGTTTTTCTAGGGTGGTTCATGGGCCTTACCAAAAGTCCCTCTCATTCTATAGCTTTGAACTAGATAACCTGGCTAAAATAATTACCCCCTGACCAAGTTTGTCTGGAGCATAGGAGTGTTAGTGTTCCTCCTCTAATTCAGCCTTTGGAAGTGCTCAGGAGTAGGTTAGGAGCCTTGGTGTTGTCTTTCTCTGCAGCTGAAAGCAGAGCCAAGGTAGGAGGTTAAAGAAATGCTGCAGGAGATAAGTGGTATAGCCCTCGATGCAATCTCCTGACACCTCCTGAACTTTCCCTGTGGTTCTGGGGAACGTCCATGCAGCTGCAGCGCTGAGGTTGCCGTTTTACCTTCTTGCCCCCAAAGGCTGATGGCTGCTGGAGTGCGTCAGTGCCCCCGAAGGTCCCTTCTCTGTCCGCTGCGCTTAAATGAATCTGAGCTGCGACTTGGCTCCGTGGCCTCTTTACAACAGCTTTGTTACTTTTCTTGTGCCTTATTGGATCAAGACGTTTCTTCAGTGATGTTGCCCTCCTGAATGAAGCGGTGAAGCAGCAACGAGAGTGGAGAGTACCGTCCGCTGTGAGCAAGCGGGAGGATTAGTTCTGCTTGAAGGATCTGACCCAGATCCGCATCTTAGGAAGCGGGGGTGACAGAGAGTGTGAATTTGGCGTCAGAAGTAGTACTGTTTGCCCCCCGCCCTCACTGTAAATGAGGAGGAGGGAATGTGGGTAAGCAGCTCTTCATGTTCGTTTATCTATACGCTGTCTAATTTAGCCTGAGATTTTCCCGCATGTGAAACATCAGACTGGGACACGTTGCCCTACTGAAATGTTTGGCATTAGAAAGCTGTTTCTGGTTCTCTTTGTTTTCCCAGTAAACCTATGGCCTTTTTATGAAGTTGTGTACTTCCAAGTGGCTTACATATCACTACTGCCATCAAGCAAAAGTGAAACATCTGCTTTTCTAAATGTTTCAGCGGGGCAAAAATATTTCAATGGGTTGTGTGTCTGTAAATAGAAGTTGTAATCTGTCTGGGCTTCTGATGTTTCACCAGCTAGGTTTTATGTAGCACAGAGGCCCACGCTAGTCAAAGACAGCACGTATTTTAGATGTGGCCTTTTTCTAAAAGTGTTTCCTGCATGTTTGCTCTAGCTAACTTGCAGAAAGCCACAAAGCTAACTCTGACTGTAACAGTGCTACTCTGTCCGTGGCACGAAAATCACTGTTGGTAAACGCCTCTTCTCGGAAAGCTGTTCCTTCCCTCCTGCCGCTGCAGCAAGAGCACGTGTAAAGTCTGAGCCCAAAGAGAGCCTGTGGCTTTCCCAAAGCGCTGTTACTTCTGGATCGGGATGTGGAGGAAGATAAGCCAGTGGGTGGTGGTGATGCATGCTTCCCGTGGTGCAGATCCGTACCATGCTATGGCGAAACACCTTCTAGATGCTCTTTGTGCAGTAAATCCTGGCTCTCGTTGAGGGTGGGGTGGTGGCCAGGAGGACGTGGCAAACTGTCCCTTCTGGCTGGTTGGAGACTTGTAGGCAGCAGGTGGAGAGCTGAGGGATTTGAAATCCTCAAAAAAGCTTTCTTTGGAATTCCACTTCTCACAAAAACTGGTACAAGCTTAGACTGGTTTATTTTGAGGTGGTATATTTAGGCCTGGGAGAGTAATTACACAGCTCTGGAAAAGGCTTTAGTCGGAAGGGGGCAACGCTTAACTTGGCAGGGATTCAAACTTCCTGCAAAATGGTACAGACTGCTTTTGAAAACAAAACTTCTGAAGACCCGTTGAGTTGGCACCTAGTACAAGGCATTGGTCTAATCTATTTCTGGCTCCTCAAATACAGAGTAAAACTTAAAATTAGACACTTCTGGTTTCAAGTTGTTAGTTTCTGCTTTACTTTTAGGTGCCTTGTGATTAGGATGGAGGGAAACGCCTCTTTTAATGCATCTCTCACCACACTTCTTGTAGTTTGTTGGTTTCTATGTGATGGTTCCTAATTGTACATCAGAGGATATTCTAGAGCTAAATACAAAACTGCTCCTCATCTGAGGCTGTTTTTTTTTTTTTTTTTTTTAAAGTGTTCTCTAATTATCGGCCTAATGGTAGCTTGATGGGAGGTGGATAGACGAAGCCCAGTGCTTCCCCACGTGCCATCTTTTGGAAACGTGGAACTGACTTCTTTATGTAGTGTTTGGCTTGAAACAATAGTGCTGTTGCTTGCTTGTCTAATGACGTGGACCTGGCCCCTACCCCTAAAATAAACTTGTTGTTTTTAGTGGGGGGGGGGGGGGAAGTTTTGAAAAAGAGGTGAATGATTGTGAAACTTGTAACTGGAAAGCAGCTCTGAATTTTATCTTGTAAACTCCTTTCTATCCTGTGCCAAAGACAGAAGAGGCCTCAGGCTGTGCGTGCGCCTGCAGGCCTGGTTCTTGCTCGCAGCATTCTGACAGTCCCCCCAAAAATCCTTCTCTTGTCTTTCCTAATCACCTGTGCGGTGCAGTCTGTACAGACGCAGCGTTGGGAGGCCGACGAGAATTCCAC